ATTCAGTTTTTCGGGAAATTCGTTGAACATATTATCATTAATAAGAAGAATACCAGGAAGTTTCATTAAACTAGGAAAAAATTATGAGACTGTAAGCATTTAAGTAATATTAAAACTAAAACTGAAATAGAACAGAACTAGATCTGAATAGAACTAAACTAGAACTGAAATAGAACGGAACTAGAACGGACTAGAACTAGAACAGAACTAGAACAGAACTAGAAACAGAACTAGAACAGAACTAGAACAGAACTAGAACAGAACTAGAACAGAACTAGAACAGAACTAGAACAGAACTAGAACAGAACTAGAACAGAACTAGAACAGAACTAGAACAGAACTGGAACAGAACTAGAACAGAACTAGAACAGAACTAGAACAGAACTAGAACAGAACTAGAACGAACTAGAACAGAACTAGAACAAACTAGAACAGAACTAGAACAGAACTAGAACAAAACTAGAAAAACTGAACTAGAACTGAACTAGAACTGAACTAGAACTGAACTAGAACTGAACTAGAACTGAACTAGAACTGAACTAGAACTGAACTAGAACTGAACTAGAACTGAACTAGAACTGAACTAGAACTGAACTAGAACTGAACTAGAACTGAACTAGAACTGAACGAACTGAACTAGAACTGAACTAGAACTGACTAGAACTGAACTAGAACTGAACTAGAACTGAACTAGAACTGAACTAGAACTGAACTAGAACTGAACTAGAACTGAACTAGAACTGAACTAGAACTGAACTAGAACTGAACTAGAAATGAACTAGAACTGAACTAGAACTGAACTAGAACTGAACTAGAACTGAACTAGAACTGACTAGAACTGAACTAGAACTGAACTAGAACTGAACTAGAACTGAACTAGAACTGAACTAGAACTGAAACTAGAACTGAACTAGAACTGAACTAGAACTGAACTAGAACTGAACTAGAACTGAACTAGAACTGAACTAGAACTGAACTAGAACTGAACTAGAACTGAACTAGAACTGAACTAGAACTGAACTAGAACTGAACTAGAACATGAACTAGAACTGAACTAGAACTGAACTAGAACTGAACTAGAACTGAACTAGAACTGAACTAGAACTGAACTAGAACTGAACTAGAACTGAACTAGAACTGAACTAGAACTGAACTAGAACTGAACTAGAACTGAACTAGAACTGAAACTAGAACTGAACTAGAACTGAACTAGAACTGAACTAGAACTGAACTAGAACTGAACTAGAACTGAACTAGAACTGACACTAGAACTAAGAACTGAACTAGAACTGAACTAGAACTGAACTAGAACTGAACTAGAACTGAACTAGAACTGAACTAGAACTGAACTAGAACTGAACTAGAACTGAACTAGAACTGAACTAGAACTGAACTAGAACTGAACTAGAACTGAACTAGAACTGAACTAGAACTGAACTAGAACTGAACTAGAACTAACTAGAACTGAACTAGAACTGAACTAGAACTGAACTAGAACTGAACTAGAACTGAACTAGAACTGAACTAGAACTGAACTAGAACTGAACTAGAACTGAACTAGAACTGAACTAGAACTGAACTAGAACTGAACTAGAACTGAACTAGAACTGAACTAGAACTGAACTAGAACTGAACTAGAACTGAACTGAACTAGAACTGAACTAGAACTGAACTAGAACTGAACTAGAACTGAACTAGAACTGAACTAGAACTGAACTAGAACTGAACTAGAACTGAACTAGAACTGAATTAGAACTGAACTGAACTAGAACTGAACTAAAAGTGAACTAGAATAATATAGAAAATAAGCTGGATCTGAGTTATAGATATAAAATATTGAGTTTGTTACTACTGTGTCTAAATTGAATCATTTAAACCTCAAAATTTAAATGAAATCAAAAGTTTATCTTCAAGGTTATAAAAATGTTCTAAATATTTAATAAAATTAAATTAAATATGTATAAAAATAGTGTTTTTAAAAATGTTGTACTGTGTGTTATCACTAGCCAAAAATATCCAACATTTAACCCACATTGATGCACAAAATGTTCGCTTAAATCATACCTGTTATATACTACTTAGCACAAAATGCGTTCTATTTTAGATTTTACTAATTTAACTAATTTCAATAAAGGAATAGTATTCATATAAAATTAAAAAAATTTAGCAGTAAATAAACCAAAAAGAAAACCTGTTCCATAAGTAATTTGCATACTAGTGCAAAAACCTCCATTCGACCGGACTATTTGACACATTTTTGAAAGAAAAAACTTTTTTGTTTCAGGAAATAGATTTTGAAAATAATTTAAAATAATAATTGTTATAAAATAATTAGCATAATTGTGTGAATTTTTGACAAAATTTAGAATAAATAAATCTTTAAAATTTTGATAATAAACAAACGGAAATGATCATTTTGCAAAATTTTATTGTAGCCAGTTTTTAGAAGCTTATCTTATAATGATATAATTAGCACAAGGTAAAACTGAAACCAGTTGGGAAAGATTTTTCTGCGGTTGGAATGGTTAAGGAAATTTGAAATTTATTCTAAATGCATTAGTTAGTTGTTAAAATGTATACATACACGTGCATCTATTAAAATTATATTTTAAATATTTTGTGACCGCAGTTGTTATTTTCCATTCATTTTATTCGTCTCAAATATTCAGGTTTTTATTTAATACTGCAGCAGATTTTTAACAAAATTTATCACTATCATTCGTATAATATACAACACTTTTGTATATATTAGGCATCAATTATTTGCAGTGTAGAAAGAAATAAACATTTTATGTTAATGAAAGAACTACACTGAAAATAATCCATTCGTAATATATAAGAAAAATGTCGTATATTGTACGAACGGAAAAGTAAGTACGGATATGTTATTTGACTGATATTAGCTATGTTTTTACATATGAATTTATGGATTATACTAGTCGATATATGTTGACATGCTAATCAATAGATTAGTTCATAGACAGACGTGTTCATTGACTATATAATGGATTAGAGTAAAGTCAAGTCAATAGATTAGACTTTATAGGCTTGTAAATGGATTAGTCTAAGGACTACTCAACGGACTAGTTTATGGACTGTTCTATAAACTTCCTATTAGAGGACTAGTACATAAAGGGATTGTCCAAAGAATGGATTAGTCCATTAACTAATTAATATACATTTCAATAGACTGGTAAATGGACTAGTGAAGTGACTAGTTAGTCAAAATACTGGTTAATGGACTAGTGAAGTGACTAGTTAGTCAATGGATTATTCAATAGTCTAGTCAATAGCCTGTTACATACTGCCCTGGGTACGAGTATCTCTGATTTTAATATTCTCATAACTCTACTTTAGATAAGCTGGTGTAGGGTAACTAGTTAATAGAGAAATCCATAGACTGGTCCACATACTAAATTATAGACCAATCAAAAGACTAGTTAATAGACATGTCAAAAGTGAAGTCAATAGACTTGTCTGTCTCTACTTTAGATAAGCTGGTGTAGGGTGTAGGACCGGGTTTGACAAACAATAAAGTAGTCAATGAACTAGTCGAGGGACTGTCCAAAGACTGGTCAGTTACTAGTTAATAGACAAATCCATAGACTGGTCCACATACTATGTTATAGACCAATCAAAAGACTAGTTAATGAACTAGTCAATAGACATGTCAAAAGTGAAGTCAATAGACTCGTCTGTCTCTACTTTAGATAAGCTGGTGTAGGGTAACTAGTTAATAGACAAATCCATAGACTTGTCCACATACTACATTATAGACCAATCAAAAGACTAGTTAATGAACTAGTCAATAGACATGTCAAAAGTGAAGTCAATAGACTCGTCTGTCTCTACTTTAGATAAGCTGGTGTAGGGTGTACGACCGGGTTTGACAGACATTAAAGTAGTCAATGAACTAGTCTAGAGACTATCCAAAGACTGGTCAGTAACTAAATAATAGACAAATCCATAGACTGGTCCACATACTATATTATAGACCAATAAAAAGACTAGTTAATGAACTAGTCAATAGACATGACAAAAGAGAAATCAAAAGACTCGTCTGTATCTACTTTAGATAAGCTGGTGTAGGTTGTATGACCGGGTTTGACAGACAAAAATGTAGTCACTAAACGAGTGTCCAAAGACTGGTCAGTAACTAGTTAATAGACAAATCCATAGACTGGTCTACATACTATATTATGGACCAATCAAAAGACCGCTTAATGAACTAGTCAATAGACTCGTCTGTCTCTACTTTAGATAAGCTGGTGTCGGGTGTATGACCGGGTTTGACAGACAATAAAGTTGTCACTAAACGAGTCGAGAGACTGGCCAGTAACTAGTTAATAGACAAATCCATAGATTGGTCCACATACTGTATTATGGAACAATCAAAAGACTGCTTAATGAACTAGTCAATAGACATGGCAAAAGAGAAGTCTATAGACTCGCCTGTCTCCACTTTAGATAAGCTGGTGTAGGGTGTATGACCGGGTTTGATAGATTACATTTTAAGTTTAAGTTTATCTATTTACCCAAATGTTTTACCTATTGTTTGTTTAAAAGTTTCATTGGTAAAATCCAACACACTAAACTTATTAAAATTTAGTTTAATCGATTAAGTTGTATTTAGAAAAAACAACATTTTTAATTTATTTTAAATAGCAAATAATCTGAAATATCTAAAATAAATCAATATCATAGATTTAAACAATTATGTTGTTAACTTCAACATGCGGTTGTGTTTAACAAGAAAGTCGATAAAAATCAACACGTTTTAAAAACAATTAAAATTAAACTTAAATATAAACAAATAAATTGATGAACTTGAATTTGACGAAAAACCCAAAACTAGAAAATAATAGATAAATTGTATAGATGCCCCTAAAAACTAACTAATTAACCTATTAAATGAGAATCTCTAAAAAAAACTTCCGTGTGGTTAATGAAAGGAGTATAAATTAAAAACAACAGAAACAAAATAAAAACACATTTCAAAATTTGTTAATTTTTTTCCACATTATTTATTAAAAAATATTTCATTAACTTAAAAATTATAAAATCAAGTCTTGTCATGTTGTATTGATCTTATATGCTAAATACACTCATCATTATAATAAAGATCATCATAATAATGATGATGATCATCAAAGTCAAATAAACATACGTACATCTTAAACATACTTCTTTACTATTAAGTATATAACTAGTTCTTGTTATTTGCTTAATTCTTTACCACACCCCATGCAAATATCTTGAAATTCCTCTACAGAATCACAAAATATTTCAAACTTATATCATAATTATGGGCTTGTTATTGCTGTTGTTCAAGAAAACTATTAAAATCTACCTAAATCTAAAAAGCGGGCAAATATTGATTATTGACACTCGGTATTTCATTGGAGATTTCATTTTCGCTCATTGCATTCTCATAACTGTAACCAGGTTTGGCTGTTGTGTATTTATAACCATTTGGCTTATAGGTGGTTACACGAGAGGTGGTGTATTCATAACCGCTGTCATCGGAAATAACTTTTGAGTTGTCGTAGTTGTAACCTCCAATGTGTTTGTCATAGTCATAGCCTTCCTTTCCAGAGTTATTATTGCTTACTTTGGAAGTAGTGTAGTCATAACCTTCATTGCCAGACTTTTCGGTGCTTACTTTGGAAGTAGTGTAGTCATAACCTGTATTACTTGTTTTAGAGGTAGAAACTTTGGTGCTGGATGCGGTGTATTCGTAACCTTCCTTTCCTGAGTTGTCATTGTTTACTTTAGAAGTAGTGTAGTCATAACCTCCGTTTTCCGACTTGTCAATGCTTACTTTGGTAGTAGTGTAATCATAACCTTCATTACCTGACTTTTCAGTGGTTACCTTAGAAGTGGTGTAATCATAACCATTCTTTTCGGTGGTTACCTTGGAAGCAGTCTCATCATTACCAGAATTTTCCGTGCTAGCCTTTGCGGTAGTAGAGTCAACTCCACTCTTTTCGGTAGTTATCCAGATTTGATTACTAGCACTATCAGAACCTCCACTACTACTGCTTTCGGTGGTGCTTGAAGAACCTGAGTTGTTATCAGTTTCAGTTTTGTCAATAAATTCAGAAGAATCAAAAGAATTGGAAGATTCTGTAGTAGTTGTTGTGGTGGTTGTTGTTGTCGAGTCTACACTGCTGATCGAAGAAGTCGATGACTCTGGTTCAAATTCATCATCAGGGGTGGTAGCAGTTGTAGAAGTGTAAGGCCTTCTGGTTGGGGTGACTTGAGAACTAGGGAAGAATTTATTAAAGCCGATATTGAGACCACTAGCACTACTTCTAAGGCCAGTTTGCAAAAGGCTGGATAAGAGATTTATTTTTGTACTTATAATGCTGGAAAAGTCTATACCAGTGGAGATGGAAGATGACGACGATGATGAGGAGGACGACGAGGTTGAAGAGGAGGAACTAGCAGTACGAGCTGGACCTGAAATTAGGAAGAAAGTGTGGAAAAAATAATACAAAAACGTTACTAAACGTTGCCTGAAGACTGTCTTCCTTAGGAAGACTTTTCTATATGAAAACAGTCTTCCTTAGGAAGACTTTTTCTATATGAAAACAGTCTTCCTTAGGAAGACTTTTTCTATATGAAAACAGTCTTCCTTAGGAAGACTTTTTCTATATGAAAACAGTCTTCCTTAGGAAGACTTTTTCTTTATGAAAACAGTCTTCCTTAGGAAGACTTTTTCTATATGAAAACAGTCTTCCTTAGGAAGACTTTTTCTATATGAAAACAGTCTTCCTTAGGAAGACTTTTTCTATATGAAAACAGTCTTCCTTAGGAAGACTTTTTCTATATGAAAACAGTCTTCCTTAGGAAGACTTTTTCTATATGAAAACAGTCTTCCTTAGGAAGACTTTTTCTATATGAAAACAGTCTTCCTTAGGAAGACTTTTTCTATATGAAAACAGTCTTCCTTAGGAAGACTTTTTCTATATGAAAACAGTCTTCCTTAGGAACCCTTTTTCTATATGAAAACAGTCTTCCTTAGGAAGACTTTTTCTATATGAAAACAGTCTTCCTTAGGAAGACTTTTTCTATATGAAAACAGTCTTCCTTAGGAAGACTTTTTCTATATGAAAACAGTCTTCCTTAGGAAGACTTTTTCTATATAAAAACAGTCTTCCTTAGCAAGACTTTTTCTATATGAAAACAGTCTTCCTTAAGAAGACTTTTTCTATATTAAAACAGTCTTTCTTAGGAAGTCTTTTTCTATATTAAAACAGTCTTTCTTAGGAAGTCTTTTTCTGTCTGAAAACAGACTTCCCCAAGAAGACTTTTTCTGTATGAAAACAATTTATTCCTTTAAAATTTAACACTTTTGATAATTAATGTCTTGAATATTTTTGAAGTCCATTTATTCCAATTAGCTCCATACGCATGTAAAAATTTCACTTTAAGTTTTTTGTTCAATATATGAATTTGTTAATTGTTTTCTTATTTTTTTCTTCGCTTCAACCACAATTGATTTCTTTGTTCGCTGAAATTGCACGCATTCATCTTCTTACCTTGTGGCAAAAAGAACTTAAATATAAAAGGTTTTGCTTCAACACTCTGCTGTTGCATAATTATGCACATGGTGATTAACAGCACCGAACAACAAATGGACAAGATACGCATTTTCGTTTTATTTATTTTGTTTTCTTTTTTTTAAGTTTTTTATTCGTTTTTATTTATTTTTTTAAAGTTCGTTTTAAAATCGATACAACTTTATTGACCGGTGTTTGGTTTTAAACTGACTATATCTTCTTCTTAGAGACATTCTTAAGCTTAAATTTATAAATTCAATACACACTCAGGTATTCCTGTATGTGTGTTAAACTATTATTAAGTAAGTTTTTATTGTAGGTTTTCTTCCTCTTTTTTTTTTAATTTCAAACTCTTCTTTTTTTATGGTTCCTCTTCTTTCACAAATTAACAAGTTTGTTATTTAGCGGTCGTTGTGATGATCGTGGCTTAAAGCTACAACAACAACAACACGGGCTGGTTATACTACTCATAATACAACAACAACTATAAACCTAGAATACACTAAGAACGTATGAATACAACAACAAAAGGTAGTAAAAGTGCCTAACGCATAAGTAGAAAGAGATCTAATAAAATTCATAAGATTGTACAGTGGGACATAGTAATCACATTTGGCTAAAACTTGTTTCGCTAATCTCTGTGTTTGTTCCCTTATTAATCTATGTTTAAGTCCAAATTATCATAATGATTTAAGTCTAGACTATAAATTAGATTATAGACTAGACTTACGACTAGATTATGGTCCAGACCAGTGATGCCAAGTGTAGGGATTTTTCCCTTTTTGTAGGGATTTTTTCCAAAAATTTCACGTGTAGGGAAAAAGGGAAAGATTTCTTACTATTGTCAAATTGTAGGGATTTTTCAATTTCATAGTTTTCAACAACTAAAAATATACTCTTTCATGTATTAAACTTTTAAATTAAAAATGAAATCAGTTTTAAGTGTATCGTTAGTAAAAATTCCGCTTGTAATTTCTACAATATATGTACCTACATATCGCTACAAGACTGGCATAATCCAAAATTCGGCTTTCTTGAACTAAGGTCTTCAAAACAAGCGACATACTAAAATCTTTCATATAGATTTATGAAATTTCAAATATGTCTATTATTTTCGATGTGAAAAATTTAATTTCAATTTAGATGAGAAACATATTAACCTCAACTATCTGAATCTGGATTTTTAAAACCCCTTGATTTGTTTAAAAGTTATTAAAAAAATAGTTAAATGTCATTAAATATTCATATCCATTTTTCTTGAAACGACTTTTTGGATTATGCCAATCCTGTAGGGCGATATATTCTGACTCCTTATAGATAGAGTAGTCGGGGGCTTAATGCAGTAACTCAGGATTGAAAAAATGAATTTAATGTTCTGAAAATTTATAAAAGTAAACCGCAAAAAGTAAACGCAAAAGTAAACCTTATTTCAAATAATTATTTTATGAAAATTTTTTTGTTGGAGGCACATAAAATAAATTTTTATCACGATTCGATATACTGCCATAAATCTTTCAATTGTTTTTTTTAATCTTAACTGAAGAGTCAGGGTTGGAAGATTTGTATGATGTAAAATTGAAAGAAAAAAATTTTAAATTTAAATTCTAGAAATTTCATTCCTAAAAATTAAAAAAAAATACATACATATATGTATATTATAAAACGGAGCTAATATTTTAGTTTTTGATGTTATTTTTGTATAAACTTTGAAAAAAATGGAAAAAAGTAGTGTAGGGAAAAATGTGGGGAAAATATAAAGTGGGTGTAGGGAAAAAAGGGATTTTTTCTCATAAGCGTAGGGATTTCTGAAAAAAATTTCCTGGCATCACTGGTCCAGACTATACATGGAAATATAGCCTATTGTATGCATTAGAGTCAGAACATAGTATATATATCCTTAGCTCCAGTATATTTTATATCCTAGACTATAGTCTGAGCTGTAGTATAGTTTGTAGTCTAATCTATAGTCTGGACTATAGTAAAACATAGCGTACAGTCTAGTCTTTAGCCTGTCCTGTAGTATAGTCTATAGCTTAATTTATTCTGGTCTATAGTCCGGACTATATTCTAATAGTCTAGTCTATTATCTGGACAACAGTGTAGTCTAGACTATAGTATAGTCAATAGTGTGGCCTATATTATTATCTATTGTCTGTACTGTTGTCAAGTCTGTAGTCTATAGCAAGGAATATATTGTGGACTTTAGTTTAGTCTATAGACTGGACTATAGTCTAGTCTGTAGACAGGACGATATAGTCTGTTCTATAGTATAGTCTATAATCTGGACTGTAGTCTTGTCTATATTCAGGACAGTAGTAAAGTCTATAGTATGGACTATAGGCTGGTCTATAGACTGGACTATATTGTAGTCTATATTCTTTACTATAGTCTAGTCTATAGTCTGAACAATAGTATAGTCTATAGTTTTGTCTGTCTGTAACTGTAGTCTTGTCTATAGTCTGGACTAAATTCTAGTCTATAGTCTAGTCTATATAGACTAATCTATATAGTGTATAGACTAATCTATAGTCAGGACTATAGCCAGCACTATAGTATGGACTATAGCCAGCTCTATAGTATGGACTATAGCCAGCACTATAGTATGGACTATAGCCAGCACTATCAGGACTATAGTCAAGTTTATAGTCTGGACTATAGTGTTTTCTATTGTCTGTTCTGTAGTCTAGTCTATATATAGCCCGGAATATAGTGTGGACTAGTTTTTGTATCATCTGGATTGTAGTCTAGTCTATAGTCTGTTGTTATAGAAACCAGTTGATACAGAAACTAGTCCACACTCTATGACTAGTCTATAGTCAACGTCTAGTTTATAATCTAGTCTATGTTATGGTCTAGTCTGTACTACATTATAGGCTATAGTCTGAACTATAGTCTAGTATATAGTCTGAACTAACTAAATAGTCTATTCTATAGTCTGGACTACATGAAGTTTATGGTCTGAACAATAGTCCAGTTTAATGTCTAGCATATAGTGTTGTCTATAGTTAAGTCTATAATTTGTCTATAATAGACTATAGTCTATAATAGACTATAGCCTAGTCTATAGTTTAGTCTTTATCTATTCTAATCTATTCTGAACTATATTCTAGTATATAGTCTGGACTATAATCTGGTCTATAGTGTAGTCTAGTCTATAGCCCGAAATATAGTTTGACCTTATGTCTGTATCATCTGGATTGTAGTCTAGTCTATTGTCTGAGCGATAGTTTGGCATACAGTTACGTCTATATTCTGTCTAAGTGTAGTCTATAGCCCGGACTTAAGTCTACTCCATAGTTAGTACTATAGTCTAATCATTAATCTGGACTATAGTGTGGATAGAGTATTGAGTATTGTCCAGACGTTAGAATAGACATAGTTGATATTATAGACCAGACTTTAGTGTAGAACTATAGTCCACAAGCAAGTGATGACTATTGATTAAACTATAGCACATAAATATGTAATGATTTTAAACCACGGTACAGTACAAATCAATCCACAACAACAAAGAAATGTTAACACATTTCTTATTAAACAATTATATTTGAATTTACAACAAAAGCAATAACAACAACTTTTACAACCATTAAGAGTCCCATTAAAGCGGCTCTCTTACTTGTTGATTCTTTTCTTTCGAACTCGTGCTTAAGGAAAACAATTTTTAAAGTCTGGTTATTAAGTTAAATCGTTAAAGTTTTGTGCGTATGGGTATTCTTTAGGTTGTTGTCTTTATTATCTTCGTATTCTTTTTCTCTTTATTTTTGTTTATTCTTTTTTGTAATTTCTTAGGTTACTTGTCAAAGTAGGTTTGTTGTATTCTCTACATAATATTTTTTGCTGTTTGGTCTGTTTGTTTGCAATGTAATTTAATGATTATCATTATACCCTACAGTAAGGCAGGTGGGTTAAAGCTGTTGTTTAAAATGCATTTTTAAGGGGGATTAGTTATTGTTGGTTAAGTTGGTCACACTTGAAAACCCTACAATTGTTTTTGAAAAATATCAGTTTACATTTTTCTATTTAGGTCATTTACACTTCGTTGTGAACTGCTTTCATTGAAGTTTGTTTGCATTTCCTTAAGTGGTTCTTGAGAGCCATTCTGCTGTAATTTACCATTTCAAGAGAATTCTTTTCCTTTTTGGCTTTGCTTTATACAAGTTTTTTCTTTATATTCTTCTTTTAAACAATTTCCATATTTATTTTCTTGTCATAACAAGTAATTTTAAATATGATTGTTTTCTTCACTTTTCTTTTCATATTTCCAATGAAAATTATATGAAAAAAAATAAATGTTTAATTGATGAACAAAAGAATGAAAGAAAATAAGTCGGAATCATTATTACTAAGGACTCAAGACAATTGGTAAATTATACTGGATATGATAGTTGATATATAGTGAACGAAAAGAATAGGTATATTTTCTTAACTATTTTCTCAATCAGAAGTGTAAAATGGGTTAAGAATTAAAAAAAAAAAATAAAATAGTTCTCTGTTTGTGAACTAGTTTAACTCTGAGGCAATATTAGATGAAACTTTTTATTATTTTTTTAAATTATTCATACACTCCCAATTCTGTAGAAATGAAAAAAGTCACTCTTTTAACTTGTAATAAATTTTGACCATAAAATTTAAATTACTAACGTTTTTTTTTTCCGCCATTATTTTAACTTAATAATAGAAAAAGAAAACAAGAAAAACAAATAAGAATACATGTTAATTTTTATGGCCCAACAGCAGTCAAAGACTGGACCTTGATCAAAATAAATACACATTTTTCACTATTAAATTGTAACTCGTGCAAAAATAAGACTATAATAAAAATTTTTATAAATGAGTAATTTTTTTTAGAAAAGAATACATTTCCAAAAAGTAATTACTTTCGTAAAAGATTTATAAATTGTTTAAGACAATTTTGAATGCTTACTCATACATTCAGATTTGTTTAAAGTTATCACGTTTATTGTCAAAGTAGTTAAACCACAAAATGAATTTTAACATTCCGTTAAAATGTTTTGAAAAGTAAACGAATATAATTAAATAAATGATTTACAACTGCTTAAGAAACCACACTTTTGTTTTGTCTAGAGTTCTATAAACAAAACCAGATTTTGTTTGATATTCAAAACAGAAACTCAATTGCTTAAAATATATTACAAAAGAAAAGATCCAGAAACAAAGCCATAATAACAGGGTTACCACATCTCACGATCATTAGAATAATTAAAAATATTTAAACGTAAAATTTTTCAAAACAAACAGAGTGCAGATTATGGATTATATT